TCTAGACCCAGGCAGGAGTGGTAACAAGGCCCACAGCCTGGGCTCCTTTCATTATAGCCCTTAGGCCAAGAACCAGGTTCAGCTCTGAGGGCCAGGGGTGTGGCAAGGCAGGAAGATAAGGAGTTCTGTGCTGCTCCCGACCCAGCACCAGGCCCAGATTTTGTGGGAGACAGATGAAACTGGCTGGATTTTCCTGGTATTTGGTGGAGGGTCAGTAGTGCCTGGTAGAAATGGAACTGGGTTCAAATCTCAAGACCACCACTTCTCAGCTAAGAACTTGGGCAAGTTATTTAGCTTCTCTCAGCTGTTTCCTCACTTACCTTCTATGGAATCATACAAACTGTTGAGCTCTTCATTCAATCTGTTATCATTTGTTGAGCACTGATTATAAGCCAAGTGCAGTGCTGAGCAGTGAGGATTGAGTGGTGAGCAAAACCAGATAAAGACTTGCCTTCTTAGAGCTCCACATCTAAAGAGAGAGGCAAACATTAAACAAATATTCACACAAATAAATATAAAATTGCCTCCGATGGTGTTACAAAAGTTTTGGGAGAATGTATAACAGAGGGGTGTGACCTGTTTGGGGGTCAGAAAAGGTTCCCTGAGGAAGTAGTGCTTAGGTTTAGAATTGAAGGATGATAGGAGTTAACTAAGTTAATAGGCTGAAGAAGAAGCATATGCAAAAGCCCAGTGCCCTGAGAGAGCATAAGTGGGGTGCAGGGCCGGAGAAAGCTGGTAGGGGCCAGACCCTGCAGAACTGTGGATTTCCAAGAATGATGAGAGAATTTTGGAGATCTGTTTGGCCCCTTGAAGAGGATACTTGCACATGGAAGTTCTTACTAGGCTATGAGTAGTCACTATTTTTTTTAATTTTTAAAATATACACATATTTTAAAATGGAGGTACAAGGGATTGAACCCAGGACCTCGTGCATACACTCTACCACTGAGCTATATCCTTCCCTCATGAGTCACTATTATTAACGATCAGACAGGAACCACAAGTCACCAGAGATGCAGGCCAAGAGGGTCTCTGTTTACATATGGAGTAAAAGGCATTTTGTAGCCTCAGGGCAGTTTGAGGGGCCCAAGGTACACTGTGTATCTGGTTTTAGATCCAGGTGGAACTTGACCTGAAGTACCAGCCCCCAGAGGGTGCAACTGGAGCCTGGGCAGAAGAGGACTTTGGAGCACCCATCCGGGACAGGTAACCTTCCCACCCACCGAACCAAGGCCTAGGCAGGCCTCAGGAAGGGAGAAGTGGTACCCAATCCCACCCTGGATTTGCTGGATGTGGTAACCCTTGGACCCGTGCTGCCCAGGTTGTAGCTCTCCTTTCATTTCTCCTTCCCCCAGCTCAGAGCTGATTATTCACAATGTGGGCTTCCAGGAGCTGAAGTAAGTATGTGGGGCTGACATAGGGTTATAGAGACAGTTTTAGGATTAGGAGTCAGTGATGTAGAGTCAGTCCCTGGGTCTGGGATCAGTACTGGACCAATTCCTGGGTGAGAAGTCAGTCCTAGAATCAGGGGTCAATTCTGGAATTAGAGGGCTCCCAGGTTAGGGGTCAGTCCTGGTAGTAGTGGCATCAGACTAAGGCTCAGGGGTTGATCCTAGAGTCAGGGAAGTCAGACATGGGTGCCCAGAGATGGGTAATAGGTCCCAGACATGTCCTTTGGGGGCCTTTCCTATAAGGCCTGGAGAGGCTCGGCTGGAGCGGCGGGCAGTGGCATTGGGCCGCAGGCTAGCTCGAAGCCTAGGTCAGCAGGATGATGAGGACAATGAGCTGGAGCTGGAGCTGGACCTGGAGGATGAGCCTGATGTGGAGCTTTCTGGCGTCGTGTTCAGCCCCCTCAAGAGGTAACTTGTACCCACTGCGCACCTGCTCCAACACCCTACTAGTGTGTCAACCTAATTCACCTATATATGTAGGCCCAGCCCATCCACCCTTACAAACACATGGTCCCAGTGTATGGTGAGGAGTGGATATCCTGGGGTCAAGGGTCATTCACTTTAGGCAAAGACACTGCCACATCTACAGAAACACAGTTACACTGGCTCACACATGGCTTCTGGAACCCATGTTGGTGATGAAAGCTTGATGAGAGCAAGGAATTTTGTCTCTTTTGTTCACTGCACTGCAGTGTTCCAGTGCCTAGAACAGTGTTGGCACATAGTAGGTGCTCACTCAATCTTTGTTGAATGAATGAATGGTTTTAGGGCTCTAGGAATGAGTTAAATTCTGGGTGTAGGGTTGAGATGGAAGCAAGACAAGACCGGAAGGACTCAGAATCCAAAAGTTCAGAGGGAGAGATCTTATCTTCAGCACCAGGCAGGAGAGTGTGTGTGTGTGTGTGTGTGTGTGTGTGTGTGTGAGTGTGTGTGTGTGTGTGTGTGTGTGTGTGTGTGTGTAGTGGGGAGGAAGTGAAGTGAGAGCTGACCTTAACCCTCTCTCAGCCGAGCTCGGTGCCTGGCCCGCGGCGATCCCTTCCAGGTGTCCAGGGCCCAGGACTTCCAGGTACTGCTCTCCCTCCAGGCCATAACCCTTGGGGAATACCATTCACTCTCCACACAGATTTTTACCCTCCTACCTTTCAAGAAGTCAGTCTTGGCTTCCTTTTCTCTTCCTTCTGCACCCTTCAGGTGGGGGTCACAGTGCTTGAGGCCCAGAAGCTGGTTGGAGTCAACATTAATCCCTATGTGGCTGTGTGTGTTGGGGAGCAACGCCGAACGACTGCCACGCAGCATGGGACCAATTGCCCCTTCTTCAATGAGGTGGGTGTGATCCAGGAAGGGGGAGCCTGACAGAATGCACAGGACCCAGGATAAGAACAGTCTGTAAGAGGGAGCATGGCCTGGGAGGAAGTGAGCGAACCAGTGGGCCTGAGGCTAAGGGCTCTTTGAGGGAAAGGATGCAGAGAGGCACAGTCTTGGAGTTGGGGGTAGGGGGAAAAGGGAAGGAGAGCGTTCTCTGCAAGAGGCTGACGCCAGCTGGTGTGACTCCTTCACGTGTAACCTCTTACCTCTCTTGCTTCCCCACTTCAACCCAGTACTTCTTGTTTGAATTTCACGAGACCCGCCTTCACCTCCAGGACTTGCTGCTGGAGATCACGGTGAGGGGGTAGGGGTGAGGGGTTTCCGTTAGAGAAGGGGGATGCTGAAGCTCCCTGGGACTAACACCACCTTCCCCCAGGCCTTCCATTCGCAGACCCTCCCCTTTATGGCCACTCGGATAGGTACCTTCAGGATGGACTTGGGCATTATCTTCGACCAACCAGGTACTGAACCCTCCCCTCACTGAGACTCCTCTGCATAGGCAAGGGAAACTGACCCTCTGGGCACTGAGCCCTGTATACTAACTTGTGAGACAGCAATCTCTTCCGAAGGCTGACCTCCACGCACTCCCACCCCTCTACCAAGCCGGACTTGAATCCCGGTGGTTGTCCAACACTCTGATCGCTGCCCCACGACTGTCCCACGCATCCTGCCGGTATTCCCTGACCCCTGGCCCGCTCTTTCACCCCAGATGGCCACTTCTATCAGAAATGGGCTCCACTGCACGACCCCCGGGACACCCGCGCTGGGACCAAAGGCTTTGTCAAGGTCACTTTGTCCGTGAGGGTGCGCGGGGACCTGCCCCCTCAGCTGCCATCCCCGGGCCCAGGCCACAGTTCCGACATCGAGAAGTGAGCGTGGGGCGAAGGTGGGGAGCAGAGAGTAGGACGGGGCGTGGCCTCCGGGACGCGGAGAGCAAGAGGGGCCCAGACTCCGGCTTCTGGGCCTCTCAGCGCCGGGCTTCCCTAGGAACCTGCTGCTGCCGCGCCGGGTGCCTGCGGAGAGGCCGTGGGCGCGGCTGCGCGTGCG